GACAGTGAGGAGCAGCATGCTCAAGAGATCCACATCCACTGCATCGACGGGGTGCTCTCTTCTTTCGTACGGGCTCCAGAGGAAGAGATTCCTCTAACTGTGTAGAAACCTCCTCTTGACTTCGTACCAGGGCTTGAGAGGCCATGCCCAACAAGCTCTCATCCTCCTGAGTATGGCCTTCTTCATCCATCTGTACACGCCCAGCTGCACCCCCCTGAGGGACATATGTAGTCTTCCTTTTCCTTTGCTCTCTCTTTCCATTTGCTGTACGAAGCTCCATATTCTCCTGTTCAAGGAGGGCATTCTTTGCCACTGCTTTTTCATAGTGATAGAAGAGTCTGTCCATAAACCGAGTAGTAGGACTTGACGCAGGTGTCGTACGGTTCTGCATTCGATTCTGGATTCGGCTAGATTGCCGTCGTACGTCATCTGTATTGACAGGTGTTTTGGGAGTCCAAGAGCTCTGAGAACAGTGAGCTGTGCTTGGTCGAGAGGGTGTTGCTGGTGGTAGTTGACCTAGAACCTCATACGGAGCATAGGGAATCAAGCCAGTTGCTCGGAATCCACTCTGGATATTCTGCTCAGAGAAGGTGCTGGCATGAGCCTCTGAATATAAGGACAAGAAATCTATCTTATCCACATGATTGATTCCACATCGCATCTGATTCTCAACCAGGCAGCCATACGCTTTCTTTAAGGCAGAGAAACAGCCCACATCCAAGGGTTGAAGTAGGTGAGATGAGTGTGGAGGCATATAAAGAAGAACAATCTTGTTCTTCATGCAAAAGGAGTCAAACTCAGGGAGTGGCATGACTTCCATGACTGTCCATAATCAACAGTCGATATTGGCCCTTCGTACGATCCCGTGTCTGCTTGTCAAAGACCTCTTTGAGCCAGAATAGACCAAGCTCATCTGTTGTCCAACCATTTGGGCTGGATTTCACAGTCCAATCAGATGGTAGTTCAACCACATTCTTGTACAATGGTGGATTCTTTCCCTTGAATATTATCATGGGAGCCAGTGCCCAACCTGAGGCACTGACTCCAGCAATCACAGTAGTCCATTCTCGGTTTTCTGACTGTAGTAGCTTCGGACGGTCCTTTCTCTCAGAGTTGGTAACAACCATGCAGGTAGAGATCATTCCCATAGCAAATCCCACCTCATCCATATTATAGCTATCATCCGGCATGATCTGGTATTCTGTGGTGATATCTTGTACAAGATCAAACCAGTTTTTCATAATCTTCGGATCTTCGCAACAGGAGCGCTTGTAGTTGAACTTTCGTACGAACTTGGACTTGATTTCTGGATGCCGTTGTATAAAACGTGAGACCCATGTAGGTCCAGTTGTCTCTGGGTTCCCATCTCCTCGTTTCTCAAGAAGTAGATTTGCCATGCTTCGTACAGTAGAAGGACGGGGAGGAAGGCCACGTTTATCCATTGACAGAATCCACTGTACAGGAACAGCTTCTTCAGAGGCATGAAGCTTTCGTCGGCTCTGATCTGCTTTTAACTTGTCCGTACGCCCAGCAATATAATTGCTCAAACTTGACTGAGAAACATTATATAATATAGCAGCTCTTCGTCCACTCAATCCTTGATTTTTAACAGCTGAAGCAGCTAAAAAGAGTTGATTTGAGCTCATGATTACTGATTAAGATGAATATATGAAGATAAAATTAGAGAGATTTGATTTGGTAAACTACGTTACCAACGGATGCTCTAGCTTACATAATAGAGTCATTTTACGTTGGTACTGGGCACCCGCCAAAGCTAATTTTAGCTCTGAAGCACAGCAACAGTTTCAGGCTGCAGCAGCCGGTTGAGAAAAGGTTAAAAACATGGCCAGCGGTTATTGATTGATACGCTGTGATTGCCTGGCTTTTTGCCGCCTGGATTGTGAATGCAACGCGGCCTATAACAGATACAGTTCTTAATCCTGTCACGGCGCAGACCAGTTTCGTACATTAATTTTGGAAGCGCTTCCCTGGGGATAAATAGATCCCGCCGTTAACTCTTGTGTGATTGGCTAGTTAATGAGGAATGACTGTGCACAGACCTAGCGATACGCCGCTTGTCTATGGCAAGGGTATCTCCTCGTCTGGCCGCCAAGGCACAATTAGCGTGCTTTTTCTGCCACCCAATTTACAACTGCTTATTGGCTGGACCTCATCAGCACAGAATGCCCAAATTCCTTCATAAACCGAAGTGTGAGAGGAGACAAGGGATAATGGCATATTGAGTGGGCAGTCGACCGCTCCAGGCAGCAGTGCTAATTTTAGTTCGCGCTCCCATCCGCCTTGCCGTGCTAAATATATTATCACGTGATCGTCTTAGTGGCACCAATTCTGGACTCGGGCCGCTACCACCAACATTTTCGCTGATTGGCTTCCAGCAACCAACGACTGGCCCTGAAATGCATTCTGGGATCCTGCGCAGAAGTTAATTATAAGAACCTCTGCCCCTTCTGACCTTCATACATACTGACATGATAAAAAAGCTAAAATTTTATGATTATGATCATATGCCTAGTTCAGTGATTTTCAATCTGTCTCACAAGTGTCAGTATTCTCAGCCTCATTCATTCAACAGATTGTGATTTTGAAAAAGACAGAAGCTTGACACATCAGCATCAGCATATTAAGATAATTAATTTTTCAAAAACACTAAACTTTAGTCATTTACTTACATGATTTCTATCAATATAAATAACTGTTTTACAGCTTTATTTTTTCTATTCATCAACAATTTTTTATTTACAATGAGTAAATAATTCACATTTTTTTTTTAATATCTATCTGACAGCAGTCATCAAGAAGAGCTTCAGGCAGCGCAGCTTAATTAACTGCATCATCAGGCCATCTTTCAGCTGTCAATTTTGACATCTCAGTTTATCAATCCAGTCATCACAGTCTTGCTTGCACTAATCATCTATTAAAAGTGTCTATAGACCTTTTCTCATCTGTAGTAGTTTTGGCCTTGCAGGATGAGGGTCAGCTCAAATCCCGGCCCCATTTCTGTCCTTTGGAGCCTATCACTCGAGAAATTAGTACGTGTTGTTATTACGGCATATCTCCTCAAAAATATGGTCATTATATAAATATTTTCCTGGGGCACTTTCTTTCCATGCTTAACGTGCATCAATTTATGTATCTCCTGGGGCTGTTTTCCTTTTTACGGCATTTTTTTGAGGGGGGTCAACCACGGCTTACCGTAGCACCACAGGGATTAAAATTTCCCAACAGAACCTTTTCTGAGTCTTGAGGGGGACCATGTATATCTCAGATATCATGATTCCCTTGAACATTTTAAAATGTTTGAGGCATTTTCAGTTCTTAGGGTGCTCTCTAATCTCAAGGAAGACCACATTTTAGTATCAATGCCATGATTCTTGAAATATTTTATAGTCCTGAGGCATTTCAGTGTCTGAGATGCTCTTTAAGCTTGAGGGAAACCACACTTTTCATGGAAAATGCCATGTTCCTTAAGACATTTTATAACCTCGGGGCATTTTTAATCCCCAGAATACTTTTTAAACTTGAGAGAGATCTTCTCTCTAGGGCGCTCTTCAATCCTAAGAAAAACCATGTTTCAAACCCGCAACACCACGATTGTGGACACAACTCGAGGCACAGCATTGTTTACTCACCATCCACCGGGGAAAGGAAATCCCCACGGCAATTCATACAATTATTTGCATCGACTATGATTTTTATCTCTCCACAAGGCAGAGTTATCCACCTAAAGCGGCCACCTGTCCCCAGGGCACTTTGTATATGAACCATGCGCACGCTTCCGAGTAGTTCCCAGTGCATAGCACTAGATTTAAGAAAATGGCAGAGACCATGATTTTTAATCTACCCACAAGGCAGAGTTATTCACCTAAAGCAGATCTCTGCTCTCAAGGCACTCTGAATATTAATCACGCTCATGCTTCAGAATAGTTCCCAGGGCATAGTACCAGATGTAAAAAGTGGCGCAGATGTAAGCGGAACTATATTGCCTCAGAAGTCGAAAATAATCATGGATTATATTTCACAGAGTGATCAACTGAAATTGCAACTTATTTAATACACTATTCTAACTGCCTATGGATTTTCTCTGGGGGGAAACATCAGACATATTTTGATTTTCTGTTTCATCGTTTAATCATTATCAACAGTTAGCGCTTTCTACTACACTTATGGCGCAGCTTATATATCAAAAATTTTCAGGAAGCACTGCCGGTATCATTATCAGAGTACACATGGGGTTAAAAGGTGTGAGCGGAGCGCTAGTCCGTAATAGGAAGCCTAGTCAGCAAAATCTATCTCGGTGGGTTGGGACACGTGATCCCGGGTGGGTGCTGTAAGTTTAGTCCATTCCCTTGCCAGCCTAATTTGCTATGCAGGGCTACAACCTCAACATGACAATAGATACAAATAATTAAATGCTGAACTGCCCAAATTGAATCCCAGATGTTTAACAAATTATTGGTTGTTCAACTATTTACACCTCTCCTCAGAATTCTCTGCAGATCTACATGAGCGTTCCTAATGTCGTCGCCGCCGCTTTCCACAGTTTCCCTAGCCCGCATCCCCAGCGGGTTGCATGGTTCTCTTCTTGGATCGTGGCTCGGTCTAATATCACAGTGTCGGTTAGCACACTTCAATTCAAGTATGGAATGCAACTGTACCTGTTGGGTTTTGATCGTCAACTCCAGGAGCGCAATATACGAAAATAGGGTCCTGGCGTCCGCGAGGATTACTGCACAGTCAAAGCCATCTAATTTATGGATATGCCGTTTCGTATATTCTTCCAGCCTCTTCCGGATGTAGCCCACCTCTTCCTGACTAAGAGGTTTATACATTTGCTGAAAAGGCATTATCGGTCGGCTCTCCGCAAGAGCTGTATGGATTGATCGAGTCCAATCCGCTACAGGTCTCGAGGGCTGGAGATTCAGTGGATCTCTGGAAATGATGATATGGATGGCTTCCCCGGCAGCGCTTTTTTCACAGCGTACAGAACCATGAGCTGCCAATTCCCAAATGCGTGTTGCCTGCACCGGAGATGTCGGTCTCGTCGAGCCAGCAGAGCTCAGGGAGCTGTTTTCCCGAGTCTCAACAGAGCTCTGCTGCTGAACCCTCTCGGCCATGGTTGTTCCTTGGTCAATACTATCGTTGTTTTCTGCGTCCAGATGTCAGTTACAACCCGTTTTCAATAGAATGATGGGAGTTGCACCTGTGGCAGAACTTGAACCACTGTCGCCTCTGCCGTCCACTGGGCCGGCCTTTGATTCCTTGGCCTTACGAGCTCGAGCTGTCCGGGTACTCATGATGGAAGTGTGACGTCGGATGGTCTGCACAGCTTCGGTGACCTTTGTGAGGAGAAAAGGGAAAATGGAGCGATAGAAGCAAAGCGGGCGGAGGGCTGGCTTTATATGCCTTCAGCCCCTGGTCTACGCTAATAGTCCTCGTTGCAAATGAAGGCGTATTGAGAAACGGTGCCTATGAACAGAGGCGGATTCCACAGTACGCCCTCCCCACTTCCCGTTGACGTGCATCTCGAAATGGGGTTTACAAGAATAACTAACTTTCATAGACCATTGAACTGTTCAACGCGGAAAACGCAAAAGTGCAGACAATCAAACGCAATTCGTACGATTCAAGCGATTTTTGCAAAATTTGATTAACTTGCATCGATTATTGAACTACGACAGAAAATCAAACAAGGCGGATCTTGCGCCAGATAGAACGCGACTCATCGAGATTCAGCGTTAAAAAGCAAAGAAAGAAGGAAAGAAAAAACAGAGCGCGACCATTAATCCTCACAGGTGGACTGCCTGGTGACGACCTCCACAAACAAAATAGCCGGAGAAGATGTGTAGAATCCGTCCCAGTCCACCTGCTGAGAAGCTAAACTTCGAAAGAACATCTCATTCAAAAAAACGCCAGAGGGCCTCCCAGATTGACTGTCCACATCAAACATTCCGTTACGAAACATAAAACTGAAACATAAAACTGAGACGCAAGAACGCGTTGGGTCGGCCATACTTCCGCGGTGTATCATGCGTTGTGCACCTGGGTGCTCTCTGTAAGGTCCTCGAAAGAGTCTGTGGGGTTGATAATTGCGCGTGCCCTGGCGTAATTTTTCCCCTTTCCCCTTTCCTTGCTGGTTTTAACAACCCAATTCTCCACATCAGCCACTGCGTCGGTGGGCGACTGCTTGCGTTCAAGCAGGAACGATAGCAGTATCTCCGCTGGGCTAAATAAATGCTCCGGTATCTTGGCGGCAAACTCACCCGCAAGTCGGTCAATTGTTTCATCATCGATCTTATTTCCTGGATTGCTGTCATCCTCATCCGACTGCTTGAAAACCGCGCAGAAAAGACGAGAACTCATCTTTTTATCAGCGAGCTGAAACAGGACCTTCCTATCTACACGACCAGGGCGGATGAGCGCGTTATCCAAACGTTCGATGTGATTTGTCGTCATAATCAACAATCTACCTTCCTGCGAAGACACGCCATCCAGGGCATTAAGAAGCGCGGACAGAGATACATTTCCCTGAGACCTGCTCGTTTGTGAAGGGCCTACCGCGGCCTGGCCGCTGTTCTTCATCGTTTCACTGCCTTCCGTTCGTGCCGTACTAGCAGCATCGATATCTTCTAGGAGAATGACACAATGTGGGGGGAGCTGGGCAAACAAACTGCTCAGGCGGCTGTCGTCGATGCTTGAAAGATTGAGTACATAGATATCCAGTTCAAAACGCCCGGCCACAGATAAGCTGAAACTGGACTTCCCGGTTCCAGGAGGCCCATAAAGCAGGAACCCTGTTCGATAGGGAATCCCGCGTCTTGCATACCAGCCTCGAGCTCGCTCGTCCAGGAAACCTTCGATATCTTTCAGCAGGGCTATTTTCTCGTCCTCATCCATGATTACTGTCGAAATTGGTCTGATGTCTCTTGCCTTCGCTTTCCTCCATTCACCATCATGATGCTCAAAGACTGTAGTCTTTTTCTGGAGAAGTTTTAGATACTCGGCTCGGCAATCACTAAGGAGCTCTCTCAGGATTTGCGCGGATCCGCCGATGCAGGAGATGGAAATCTCTTCCTTGGTCTCTTTTGCTATGCACTGGAACCGGAGCAGACGGTTCTTGTACATGAAGAAGAATGATCCATTCCAAGGTGAAAAGCGCAAAGGTTTTTTCTTGTACTCGTTTGAAAGATCATCAGCATATGCTCTTCTTTGCATGCCGCCGATGCTAGCGAGAGAGGAGCGAGCCTTGTGGGCGAAGGGCTGAGTGGCGACCCAGGCGATAAGCATATCGTACGCTTCGTTGTAGTAGGAGACGTGGACGGTCGAAGCTATCGATGGTTAGAAAGAGCTACCATTAGGGGGAAGAGTCATGAACTGAAATAGGTCTCCATCAAGTCCGTCAAGTAACGGACGGCATATCTACCCAAGAAAAGGAGCATGCCGCAGAAGCACAGAAGGTGAGCATAGCTGTTCAGGTCACTAGCTAGGAGCTGCTGTATGGACGCCGAGATGCCGGTGAAGCCGGGGAAGAAGACGTCCACAATGGAGATCTGGGATGCGGCAGTGTGGATCGGCAAAGAACCAGCACTGTTGAATGCGTTCATTTTGGAATAGGAGACGTGGGTTTTCTAAAGAGATGGTATTATGTGCGATGGGTTTGCAGCAATTGATACACGGTAAGTGTTTTGATTACTAGGGAATTGTATTTGCAGAATTCGAATTCGTGAGCTGTTCATTGTCTCAGCATTCGGAGGGAATCTTGCCTCCTTATATGCTGTTGTATTGCACCCCGCGTATCCATTTACCGAGTCGGGTCGAGCTGTCTCCCCGCAAATCCAGACGCAAGATATGTTTGTTATCCCGACCTAGAACCATGCGAGGCACAGTCGTATAAAGTTAGACGATTGATAAAAAGAATGCATGTGTCCATGTAAGGCGTCGCAAGTTGCGACGAGGGACTGTAGCTGTGCCGCGTCTGGATTGGCAAACAATCGGACCAAAGGTTTAATTTGCAATAGTAACGTTCATACTCCTACAATTGAATGAAACGATTCTGTTGTCGCTTGCAGGAGTGGGATGACGTAGCGAGGTTCTTAAAAGAGAGAGCAGAACGGTCCAATCAAAACGGTAAATAAATCAGTCAAGACATCCTGTATTCATCAATATGTGCTCTCTGCAACCCACAGTATCAGAGAAACGCACGTTCGCTTGCATTGGCCGCCTTTGGCTGTGGCTCTGGCTCTGGCTCTGTCTCTGGTTCTGGCTGGGTGGGTTCTGTTGGGCGTGACCCCGACTGTGGCTGCGTCTGCGACTCCCCTTCCAAGTCCTGAATTGACGTTGCCTCGCTGTTCCTTCCATCACCAATTTCACTATCGCACTCACGCTCGGTGTCGCCTCCGAGGTGTGATGCTTCTCGATCTTCACTGAGAGGTTCCGTGTCATGTTTTTCATCCGTTCTATCATCCAGATCAATCGGGGTTGTCCGGTGACGATCCAGGTTCGTCGTCAGCCGAGTGAGGAAGGCGCGGGCGGACAATCGTGACAGAAGTTGGTCCATAGTCGGGGGACTTGATCTAGGCGACCTCTGGGGATCATAGAAGCTCGCTGCCAAGGATTCTTGTTCGAATACTGATCAGATTTTGGACCGACAACTCAGGGCCGTTGTACCTACCTGGAATCTCGCGTGCCGCAGCATGTTCCGGCAGAGAGGGTGTCATTGTCAGTGGAGAGTTGGAATTGCTGCTTGCAATGATGGGATATGGGGTGCGCTTGCTGTGCTCGTAGTGCTCTGATATTTTTTGTAGCGATAATTTTGGTCGGGAATTTGGCACCTTTTATGTCTATGACGATCTCAACACGGGCGAATGAGAGAAATCCTGCTGGTGCCATTCTACCTGCTCGCTTCCATCACATTTTCCCTGCAGGAAGAATCACCATGGTGCAGGAACGTTGGCGCCACGGAGGTGAGGTCGGCCAAATCCTGGGTAAAACAAGGCAGGAAAATTAGTGTCACCTTTCACCTTGCAACGCCAGCCGCCGTCCACACAGAAAGCAAGGGAAGATCGTAACTCCTCTCGCTTTTTATTTCCTAAACTGTAGCACTGACTGAAGGGGTGCTAGATGATTGTCATGCGACCATAGCCGCTCCAATGCACGGTCTTATAGCATGAATACCAATTTCCAATAGCGAATTAGCCCGTTAATTCATCCAAGTGCGGATCGTGAAAATGGGGAAACTCGGACGTCGTATCACACTGTCGCATCGCCCCTTTTCTCTCCTGGTCGATTTGAGCCCCCAGGAGGCTGAAGCTGAAGTCCCTTTTCCAGTGGACATCCAGCTTTGTCGACTCGGTATCTTGCTGCCGGTCAAGGGGGAACATAGCGTGGCCGAGAATTCACCTGCACTGGGGCAGTTTAAATCATGTCCACGTCATGCATCGGCCACGCCGCGAGGCTTGAATCGTCGGGGACATTTTTTTCTTCGTCTGGACTTGTCACCCTTGCAACCAACCAGACCTTCCGGACCTTGCACTCTGGTCAGGGCCTGATGCGTAATGGTCCG